AAACTAGAGAAGGATGAGATAAACTATTTTGTCGTTAGGTGCCTAAGTATATGTGCAACTTTTTTGGCTGAAAATGAGTTAATCAAGTTTGTTGAGAATATGAGCAAGAGTTTTTCTAAATGTGCAGGTTTAATTGTATTCATTTTCCCTATATTCGGTCGTTTATTAACTAATTTTCCCCTTGTACTTGCAGTTCTTTGTTGGGGGTAACTGGAAATGTGTAAGAACTCTTAATCTCAGATATTATGTTGTCTATGTTCTCTAATCTCTATGGCCAACTATTTGAAGTGTTATTTTTTTTTTATTTCCATTTAGGCCTTGCTTTAAAGTTTTTGTGCTTATCTGGTGTGAACTCTTTTTTCTAAGCTAATACTTGTCTCTGAAGTTTGTTATGGCTTCTCTTGAGTAGACTATTGTAATTTTGAATCAAGTGTTTCTTCATGGTCGTTCTCGTTCTGTATTTTTTTACTTGCCCTCCCTCTCCTAATTTTTCACTTTTGCCATTCAAGTTATGTACATCCAGTGTTAAAAAGGGGCAAGGATCACTAAGGCGATAGGGGTTTTATAGCCAAGGCGCAAGGCGAAAGACACGTGCCTTAGTGAAGCGAAGCACACTTTTCGAAAATAAAAGATATATAAGTTTTTTCCCGTTGTATAATCAAACAAAAAGAACGCTTCATGCAATATGATCATCAAAGAGTATTCCTTATCAGCATTTTATGTATTAAACACCACTTTTGTTCCATCCACCATTGAAGAACCAAGCAAACCCCCTTTCCTTCCTTGGTCCACAATACATAAGAAACTGAAACAATAAATAAAAGTCTCATAATGAGTTGGCATCAGCTTCTTACTTGTCTCCCTCTTGTTAACACCACCTACACCCTAATCCTCCCTTTTCATATTTCTAAATTTTGTTTCCAAGCTTTTATTCCTTTCTCACGGATTCAAATTTCTCCGTATGTTAAATGTGCTGCTCAAGAACCCATAACTATGCAACAAAACTCACTGAAACCTATCTTTTCCTCCCGATTCTCAATCCGTGCATGCATGCCTCTCTCATTTTGTCTGCTCAGTCGGTTGTCTTTTTTAACACCAAAAATGGCCTCTATTCATCCCCCTTTGTTTCTCTCTCTTTCAAACTTCAAGACAAACAGTAATTATAGAAGGTAAAGCACCCACCTTCATCTGTATTTCAGGCCAAATTTTCTTACGTCTCCCATGAAACTCTCTTTTCTAATCACCCTCACCATGTTTTACTCTTTTCTCCACATACATTTCATTTTTTTCTCTCTTTTTTGTTGTTGATATACAAGTTAGTATGTAAAACATAATAAAAAATATAAAAAAAAGACAAAATAACAACAACAACAAAATTGAAAGGCGACGCCTCGCCTTAGCGCCTTAGGCGCGCCTTTTTTATCAGAGTGCTCTCTTTTTCTTGTTAATTTTCACTTTCTACATTCTAGGTACTGTACATCAAAATATAATTCATTTTGTTGTTCTATATATATATTTGGGTTTTTCCTGTCAGTATGATTTCACACTGTAACTGTTGGGCTCTGTTCATGTGTAACAAAACTTGCATATCCATCTTATTAGTTCTCTTTTAGTTTCCTTTATTAATGATGTTTATTTTGTTCGTGTAGAATGGAACAAAAGACTCCATCACGAAGCTTGTTTCTGACTTGAACAGTGCAAAGTTGGAGAGTGATGTTGGTAATTTACAGCTTTCACTTCCCAATCTGCGAGAGATGTTAAAATCATTATGGAACTATGCTTGGGGGTTTATATTGGCTGGTGGCGAATAGATTTGACTAAAAGATTTGTTAACGTTTTTTGTAATATTGTTGGCAATGCTTTCACTTTTCACATGCCTCCTAAACAAATGCAACTTCTTGTGCTTTCTTGGAAGCAATTTGTATAGTGGTGATTCTTTTAATTAGACTTGCTAAGTGCATTTTAGATGCCATGTGCTTTTATTTCATTATGTTAACTGGTTTCATGTTAAATGTTATGAAGATTGCTGATATTCATGCTTGTCTAACAGATGTTGTTGTGTCACCCCCCTTTGTCTATCTCGATATGGTGAGCTCTTCATTAACTGATCGGATTGAGGTATCCGCTCAGAACTCTTGGATTGGAAAAGGTGGGGCTTTCACAGGAGAAATCAGGTTAGCTAACTTTTGCTTTATGTGCAAAACGAGTTAATATCTTTTAACATTTTGTAGCCTTTTAACATTGTTTTATTATTTTTATCTCTCACTCCATTGTTGAATATTATTTTGTGTTGAAATTATTTTGTGGAACTTTGATGGACAGAAGGCTTATTGCCTTTTGGCCATACTGATAACAGTGATCTCTTTTTAATGTAATTTCTTTCTTGTGTCAAAGTGTTAAATTTGTTGCCTTGATGCTAGTGAATATTTGTTCTTGCTGGTGTATAAGTTTCAACTTATTCAATTAATATCATTGACTCATTGTTAAGTTTATATTTTATCTCCCGTAGTGCAACTACTTCTGTTGATTTAATGGAAAAAACCTAAACAGAAGTGGCAGTTCCTGTCTCATATCTCTTTCTCAACCCATTGATTGGTGTAAGGTGTGGCAACTTATAATAGGTTTCAACTTTCAAGTTTCAGATGACATAGCTTTACCTTTTTTTAGTTAATCTGTTTTGTAAACATATTGGAAGCTGTTTGCTAATCTTCGTTTTTTTCAAAGTTTTGGGTATTTGGTCCTAACTTTTGTGTCTATGATATGATTCATCTGATTCTACCTGTAGCGTGGAACAACTGAAAGATACTGGCTGCAAATGGGTCATTCTGGGGCATTCTGAACGCAGACATATTATTGGTGAAGATGATCAGGTTCGGTAGTCACGTTCTGCAAAAAATCAAAGGGCATGGTTGTCTGTGGTTATTAATGCAAAATATGAAAATACTTAGTACTGACTGAAGATTTATTGTCCTCAGTTTATAGGAAAGAAAGCTTCTTATGCTCTGAATGAGGGTCTTGGAGTGATAGCTTGTATCGGTGAATTATTAGAAGAAAGAGAAGCGGGGAAAACTTTTGATGTATGCTTCCAGCAACTGAAGGCTTTCGCTGGTAAATTTGCTTGGCTTGTTTTTGATTTCTGTTACTTTCTTTCCTCATGAACTATCATTTTAGGTTATCTTGTGAAGACTGAAGATGGGAGGGCTGTGACTTAATTCCAATGATTCCATCATTTGCAGATGTTGTACCAAGTTGGGACAATATAGTTATTGCTTATGAGCCCGTATGGGCCATTGGGACTGGTAAGGTGGCTACACCCGAACAAGCTCAGGAGGTACATCTAGCTGTTCGTGATTGGCTTAAAAAGAATGTTTCTGAGGAGGTGGCATCTAAAACACGTATCATATATGGAGGTAGCTTGGTTACTATATTATTCTTCTATGTTTTCTTTAAATTGTCATGCAATTCCTCTTCAAGTAGTTATTTGTGTGCCATTGATACTCTACATTTTTAATCTTTGATATGAAAAGTTATAGATTTTATGATTGTGTATTTCTAAGGATCCTCGTGTGCAGGCATGTCATCAAAATTTGCATGATCTTCTTTATGCTATTGTATATGTAAGCAGAATGTACTTGCCTAAATTCAGTTCTGAGAGCGTTCTTCATTTCCCTTTCCTCTGATCTGAGGAAGGGGATGTTGTATTATCCTGACAAGTTTGATTAGTTGTTTAGTGGCATTACAGTTGAAAGCTGAAGAGACCTTGATCTTGTTCTAAAATATCGTCGTCAATTACATCTAGCTTTTGAGAATATCCTATTCTTCTAGATCAAACTGTCACTCACTGCTAGCTAATGACTCTCTTCATCTCTTTTGCAGGGTCCGTCAATGGAAGCAACTGTGGTGAGCTTGCAAAGCAATCTGATATTGATGGATTTCTTGTTGGTGGCGCTTCTTTGAAGGTATATTTCCCATTAATCATTCTGTTTCATAATGCTATCGATAAAATGCTAGTGTCTGGTTAGAAGAGTGCTTAGAATACCGATTAGCAATCAGTCGGATCAGTGCCAATGATTTCATTCTATTTCAATCTAATCTTGATGCTGCAGGGGCCCGAGTTTGCTACAATTGTCAATTCTGTGACGTCCAAAAAGGTTGCTGCTTAAATACATATATATATAGTGGGTTCGAGTGACAATAAAAGGAGCAAGAGAAGGTGTTTCAGGTTGAAGCTTCATGGGTGACGTATGAGTTATAGTGTTATCCAATGACGTTTCGATAACTTATTCAATTCCTTCCCTTCCCAAAATAATAGGAAAAATATCTGTTGTATCTTTCTAAAAGAAACTGTTGCGGGCACTATACATAATTCACTGCCATTGATAAAAGAGTGCATGGTGCACTCCAAATGCTTACTGTTTGATTCTCATCTGCTAATCTGAACATTTACTCATTTGGTTTGTTCTAAATTGTGGATTGAACCAAGAAAAAATGCCCTTTTTTTCCCTACAACATTATGGTATCGTATTCGAGTCTTGAGAATGATACAATTACTTGAAAACTATAGAAGAATCATGATCCAATTTTTATTTTCAATTAGTTTGGAGTAATTATAAAGTAGTATTTATTTTTTAAAAAAAATAGTTATTATTAATAAACACACACGTTCTCGATGTAATTGCCTAAACTTGGACTTCTAGGAATAATAAATAATTATGACTGCTGAAAAACTCTATGAAATAGGCAATGTTGCTTGGAATGGATATTCATGTTGATAAAACACTGGACCACTTGGCCAACGGTAGGTTTGATTTTGTTGAATGGTGCAGTCATCAAGGCTTAAAAACAGGGACAGCTCGATTGTCATGACAAACCCGAAACAGAAAGCGTCAAATTTGAAACCGACGTTTCATTTGGTCGACAAATCGAGAATCAACAGAGGGATGGTCGGATATCTTTTTTCAAGTCCAATTTTCCCAGAAATAAACTTTGGGTTTCGGAAGTTAAATAAAATAAGCAAAATCCACCCTCAGTCTTATTGTTTTCAGAACTGTTACTAGCATACATATCATTGGATCTAACAAGGCAAAACCAAGTTAAAAGAAATAGAAAATTACAGCATGGTTTCACAAACTATAGTACTAGTACTTATCATACAAGCCAGCTCTCACGAAAAATTGACTGGTACTGCAACAGGACTAACAACAACACAATGAGAGCAGCCACTGCCCACGGCGATGTGCCTTCCGAAGAGAGTTGATGAGTCCGGCGGATATGTTGGTACGCTGATGAACCAAACAGCATACCGAAAACATCCACAGACGAAAGCCATCTTGCCAAGATGATCAACACTACTGGTGTGGCGAAAAGCACCCAACTCATTTGCTCTTCAGCAGATTCCACAGCTGATTCGTAGTTAAGGTAGGTTGATATTCCGAGAAACACGGACGTGAGAGCTAGGATTAGCATAACTGGGTAAGGCAAAGGGCTTAAAGAGAATGAATCGAAGATGGAGTATTTTCTTCCATAATAGGCCATTGAAGAGGTCAGTCTGTATTTTCTGGTGTGTGAACTAAAGAATGTATTTATAGCAAAAGAGGGTGTCTGGTCTGGTTTTTGTGGTTCACAGCTTAGGTTGAACCAGGGTGCTTCTGGACCGTTGATTTTGTTCCTGTTTATCTGTCTGAACTGATTGGATTTAGGTTTTTGAACTTGGCATTGTGGGACACACAAGGGTTGAAATATAAGCACGTACTTTTTGTTTACATTTGTCGTCATCTTCTTCCTATTGTCTTGGTTATGGTTTTAAGCATACATAGTATAGGAGAGATGTTGAAAACCTCCATCAAAATGTTGTTTTTTCAATACAAAAACTTGATATCCAAAGGATTTATTAATTATTAATTTGATCAACAATTCAAGTCTTAAATCATCATTTGTTTATCTTATTCTGATTTGAATGGAATTTCTGTTAAACTATAACAAAAAATTAAACCAGATAATTCTTCAGAGTACAAGGAAAAGTTTGCAGAAAGGTTAATTCTTGGAATGCTGCTGTCTGCAATACAAGAATTTTGAATGATTAAACATATAGCAAAGAGAAGGAAGGATGCATAGCAAGCACCTAGGAATTTGTTGCATGGGAAACATACGTTGAATTTAATCATCTCCCTAATCCAACGTCTTAAAATTAGCAAATATATTACTTCCCGTTTCACTTATCCCCGCTACAAATCATTTAAAATCAGAATCATCTCATTAAAAATAAGGTTTTGTTTTGAGGTTAAATTAAATTCAGATTCTAACAATTAAGATTTGCAGAACATACCCATGACGAGGAGAATGAAAAATGAATATAAAATTGGAAGTTTTAGTATTCATGAAACCACCGGCCTCCGGGATTATCATGTTGCCTGCCTCCATGCTAAACCACAATATTTCTTCTCAAAACTAAACTAATTTCTACAAACTGCATTTAAATCATAGGCCAACACGTACAAGGTCAATTGACAGAGAAATAATTTGCTAAACAACTATTGTTCTTTGTTTTGTAAACCATTTTCTATCACTAGTCTCTCAATTACTCAACTTTCTAGAAAAATAAGCATATGAAAAATGACTACAATTATTGGCTAAAGGAAATTTCAAATTCAATTCTCTTATAGGGTTTTTTTCCAACTAAAATATCTCTAGATTTATTATCAAGATTACTCCAATTTCTAGGATCATAAATGTCTCAAGGAGGGACCATGTTTTGATCAATCCCAACATCTTCAACATTAGTCTTATTTTGTGTGTGATTATGACCATTTAAATTAGAAATGTCATCATCTATATGATTTAGGATATTATCATAGTCATTTGCATCAGTAGCACCCACATTGGTATAATTTAGAGAACTATCAAGATTATTTAAATTCACATGAACATCATTTAAATTTTAATTAGAAGGTGCTCCTACCTTGTTTTTAAAGAATTTGTCAAGAGTTCCCTTTTGTGATACTATTTTTTTGAATTAAGAAAGGAGACTATTACAAAGAAATACTAAGTGCGGAGGGAGGCAGGACCATAGAGGTCACGGTGGAGAATAGATAATCTCTTGGGGGGGTTCTATGTAGGTCTGAACTTGTTCATTTGTAATAACAGTAGATTTGGCAAGGAAATCTGCTGCAGCATTGGCTTCAAGCCGAATGAGGATGAATTCAATCATCCATTGCTTTGAGACGAGAGTTGCAATAGAGCGAACAAGGGCGATGGTGCTGCAGCTAGCCATTGGCGAAGATACGAGATTAAGAGCTTTGGCACAGTCGGTTTGGCATTGAAGGCGTGTGATATGAAGGGAGATCGCCAATTGAAGTCCTTCAAAAATTCCCCAAAGTTCGGCTTGAAGAGGCGTTGAAATTCCAACCGGTTTATTAAAGCCAATGATCCAGTCACCATTCGTATTCCGGATGATGCCACCCACCGATCCGTAGGAGGAAACTTTGTGAACCGCTCCATCCGTGTTAAGAGTAGACCAGTCTGGGGGCGCTGGCTTCCATTGCACAAGTTCTGGTCGAGCAGCAACAGAATCTGTTGGAGTAATGATATTTGCCTTCGATGATATAAAGGGCCCAATTTTTGTTAAGACAGAGGAGTTGGTCATTATGGATGAACAAATTTGAGAATATGCATGCATTTTGCCTCTTCCAAATCTGCCATGCGATGGAGGAGAAGAGTACCTTCCATGGGATGCTTGTGCCAGCAAAAAGGTTGTTTGATTCAAGATTCATCACGAGCCAATCAGAGGCGTTAGTGAAGAAGAAGTTCGGTAGGGGCTGCTGTCGGATAATCTGCTACCAAAGTGCTGAAGAGTGCTGGCAGTCACGTAAAACATGCAGAGTAGTTTCATTAGCTAAGCCATATATTTGACATAAAGGATCATCTGTAAGTTTCCTTACACAGCGATTGACATTCGTAAGAAAGCGATCTTTGTATGAAAGCCATAGAAAATTTTTAAGACGCTCCGGGATGGTCATACGCCAAAGCTTAGTCCATATTGCGTCTTTGGGGTCCCAAAGATCCTTGGTTATAAGATCATATGCAGATTTTACTGTGAACTCACCATGTTTTCCTTGAGACCAGCAACATCGATCCTTACCAGCTGTTAGGTTAGGGGTTGAACGTTCAGATGCGGAATTATGGAGGGCTGGAGAGACTGCGGAGTAGATTCCAGTTCCAATTACCATTTGGCAGAGTAGCTTCGCAGACTAGCATATTGTCTTCTATCGAAACATGATCTTGTTTCCATTCTGATAAGCGTCCAAGATTTGGCATCCAAATGTCATGCCAAAATTTGATCATAGTTCCATCGCCTATAGACCAAGATAAGAAGCTGTAGAAACCATTCCAGACTTTGGATAAGGACCTCCATAAGTGGGAACAATTCGGTCGGAATATGGAGGGGGGCAGTTGGAGAGAAGCTTATACTTTTGACGAAGAAGCTTTATGTAGTATTTCTCTGTATCCGAAGCAATAACATAACATAGTTTCATATGGAAGGCAGAGTTATGATGTTGTAGCCTCCGAATGTCGAGTCCTCCATTATGCCTAGGTTGAGATAAGGTGTCCCAACTGTCGAGGGGGATGCCTCGGTTTGATTACTAGAACTCCAAATGAAATACCGAACTAGTTTTTCAATATCGTGACAACACAAGAGGGGAAGCGGCAAGTTTGCATGAAATAAGTTGGGATAACCATGAGTACGGAGTTAGTGAGGGTAATCCGTCCTGCAAAAGATAAGGTTCTAATCGACCACCCATGGAGCTTTGATTTTATTTTATCAACAATGAAGTTATAAAATCACAGGTGGCTCGCTTATGCATCACCGGCATTCCAAGATGGACTCCTAAGTTAGGAACTTGTTTGATGCCGAGATGAGAACAGACTGTATTTACTGATTCTACACTTGTGTTGGGCGAGAAGTAAACATGGGATTTGAGATTGTTGACTTTGTGGCCCGAGTAACGACCAAATTCCTCCAGAATGTTGTCAATTAGAATTGCATGCGCTGCAGTTGCTTTGGCATACAATATTAAGTCATCTGCAAAGAATAGGTTTGTGATAGGAATACCTCCACGAACTAACTTAAATGGTTTCCAAGCGCCCTCCTCGGAAGCAAGATGAATGAGATGCCCAAGTCTTTCCATGGTAAGAACAAAAAGGTAAGGAGAGATTGGGTCTCCTTGTCGAACTCCACATTGTGGTTTAAAATCATTGCTAAGCCCTCCATTAAATTGGACCTGCAATGAAGAAGATGAAATACAATATAAGATGAGTCGCTTAATTGCCGGTGGGAAGCCTGCTTCGGAGAGTGTATCGGCTATGAAGTCCCAGCGAAGATGATCAAAAGCTTTTTCCAAGTCCACCTTTATCGCCATCCAACCTTCTTTGTCCTTTTTGGATTTCATGGAGTGGATAATCTCCTGATTAATAATGATATTTTTTGGAGATTCTACGGCCTTGAATTAAGTTGGTTTGATTAGGCGTGACAAGTCGAGGCATAATTTACTGAAGACGCTTGACAATGATCTTAGTGACCAACTTATATAAGACCGTACAAAGACTGATAGGTCGAAAGTCCTTGAAGCTCGAGGGACTTGGGATTTTGGGGATAAGGGCAAGAATTGTTTTGTTCAAAAGGGGATCAATATTATTACCACTAAAAATGTTTTGGATCGTAGAGTAGACTGAAGTGCCAACAATGTCCCAATATTTCTGATAGAAGTGTGCGTGTAGACCATCAGCTCCTGGAGATTTGAGTGGAGCCATATCGAATAGCGCCTCCTTTATTTCCAATGAGTTTGGCATCAATTCTAGCTTTTTCGTTAATTCAGGGGGAAGAGTTGGGAAACACCCCGAAATAGGATAGGTGCCATGTTCTTTCTCACAAGATGAAAATAGTTTCTGGAAGTAAGAGTTGGCTTCTTGTTGAAGAGTATTAAGGTCTGAGAACCAATCTCCAGTTGAGATTTGAAGAGAGTAAATTCTATTAGCTCTCCTGTTTGTAATGGCTTTTTTATGAAAATAAGCTGTGTTTCTGTCGCCGAATGATATCCAATCCGAGCGAGATTTTGCTTTCATAAGAGCTCCTCTTGATCAAGGATTAATTCAAGTTCAGCTTGAAGCTTAGTCTCAAGTTGCAAGAGATAAGCACTGTGCTTTTTATCCAGATATCGTTGGATGCCCCTTAGACGCCCCATAATGTTGCGCTTGCGGTGAGAAAGCTGCCCAAAAGAGTGTTGGTTCCAGATTTTGGCAGCGCTACTGAATTTAGAGATAGCTTGTGTAATTAGAAGTGAAGAATCCCAGTTATCGAGCACAAGTTTATGGAAATCTTTGTGGAGAGTCCATCCCACAAAGTATCGAAATTGACTTTGATGCCGCTTATTGGAGTTTTTGCCAATAGAGAGTAAAAGTGGTCTATGGTCGGACTTCATTCTGAGAAGGTGATAAACCAATGTATCAGGATATGCATCAAGCCATTTGTCGTTGCATAAGCATCGGTCGAGGCGAACGGCACAGGGTCCTCTATACCAAGTAAAGTCAGGTCCTTGATAACCAAGATTATGTAGACTTGAATCAAAGACAATATTACTGAAATCTTGATCCGATACAGGGATACTAACACAACCTTTTCGATCATTTGGAGATAATGCTGCATTAAAATAGCCTAGGATAACCCAAGGCTCGTTAATATGATTGGAGAGTAATTGGAGATAAGACCAAAGAGTTTTCCTTTTGGCAGGGTTTGGACTTGCGTAAACAAAAGTAGCGAGAGCGGAATGGTTGTTGGACTTACAGTGGATTCTGCACTGGACGAATTGAAAGTGATTGAAAAGAACATCTATTTGAATGTGATCATACCAACAGATCCAAATGCCTCCAGAAAAACCATCAGCTTCTACTCTAAAAGAGTTCGGAATTTTAAGTTGAGCAATAACTCTGTCAGCGACATGTTTACTTATACGGGTTTTAACGAATCCTACAACATCCGGAGAATGATCTCGCATATATTACCGAGTAACTCGATTGAAATTTCGATGGCCACAGCCTTGAGCGTTCCACATAAATATGTTAAGATTCATAAGTAAAATAGAGTGTGAAGGGAGTGGGAATAAGATCCCATTATTCTATCATAGCTACAGTTCCTTTGCTCGTTGCAGAAGGAGCTAGCACTTCGGTTGGGATATGGGGATTATCTCCATCTACCAGTTTCACAGCTTGGTGCTTGTTCGGGTCAAGGTTCTCAATCAAGTTCAAACGTGACAAATTGGAGGAAGAAGCTCCACTAGATGTATTACGTGATCCATGCATGGGAAGTTTAGATAATACATGCAATTTGGCGGGTTTACCTCCGAGATGAGTTTGCTTCTTGAGGCCGGAAGGGACAGTTGTGGCTTTTTTTGGGTTTGCTAGAGCCTTATCCTTCGATTTTTTTTTGTCTGTGTGGGTCAAAGGAGATATTGTAGGGGGTACCATAGGTTCCACTTCGATCACCCTAGTTTTTGGGTGATTTTCCTGATTATTGGGGACAACTTCAAAAATGGGATTTGAATTTGTTATAATGGGGCTAGAATCATTGACCAATTGCTTTGTAGAATTAAGATTTCTTGAATTACGTTTTTTCCTTTCTACGAGCATCCATGGCCCGAATGCTTCATCCTAGACTGAATTATCTGTCGTCGGAGGTTGCACCGAATGAACCTCAGACGCTGGTTGAACATCTTCTTGTACTGGTAGTTGCGAACAAATGTCTTTATGGTGACCGTAAATGCCACAATGGAAGCAAATAGTAGGAAGAGACTCATACTCTATGATTTGAAGATGACCATTGATGAGGAGTTTGGATACCAAAGGCCGATGGAGATTGAGACTAACGGCTAGGCGTGCAAAACTCCCCCTGCAACCATTATCCGTTTGGAAATCGATTTTGATCACAGAGCCAACCTGGTTTCCAATAGCTTCAATGAAACTCCTTTTGTACAGGGTGACTAGGAGTCCCGATAATCGAATCCATGCCATGAGATGGCTAGGATAATCTTGGCTTGGCTGAAAATCAAGAGACCATGGCTTAACTGTTAAGTAATGCCCGAAAATAGTCCAAGGTCCTTCTGTAAGTACCTTCAAATAGTCACCATAATTGTTGAATTTCACAAGGAAGTAGTCATTCTCAATATCTATAAGTTTGAGAGGGAAGGAAGGCTTCCAGATACCATATATGCAATTGTACAGGGTATTGTAACCCACTCTTCGACCAAGAACTTTAACTACGAGTGTTAAATCCATGCTTTTAACGGCCAGTATTGGACTCGTTCTGAAAAATCTATGGTTGGAATCCCGTTAGAGGAGCCGAGAGTAATATCCTCTTCAAGCATATCATCATCTATCGATCGTTTAGGATCTGGGTGAGCAATAGTAGCACAGCGCTGTGGGGAACTATGGTGGAAGAGTTAGGCGGGTTTTCATCTCTACGTCTTTGTTTTTTGGGGAGTCTGGCATCGGCGGAGGGAGCTTCAGAGGGTTTTATAATTTTTGGGGCCTCCCCTTTTGTGATACTATTAACTCATCTCTTTATTTTCTTTTTTTTTTCACTACCAGACAAATGTTTTTACGCGACATTATATGCAATGCAACTAATGTAGAAAAGAACCATAGAATCTGTAAAATGGGAAGATCCTCGATCGAAGTATTTATATACCAAATCCGCAACACGAACTTTGAAATTAAATAAATAATTTACATTAAAATTTTAAAAATCAAATTATCGATAATAGTGTAATAAAATATATTTTAAAAACAAACCCACGAACTTGGTTATAAAAAATCCCAAAAGAAATAAACTCCAATAGAATTTTACCTTCATAGTTATATTTAAACTTGGAAATGAATTGAAAAGTCATAATAATAATTTTCAGATAAATTTTGAAACATGAAAGAAAAAATGCAGATTAATTATATTTAAATTTTTCTCTCCTCTTTGAGTTTTATAGAGAAAAAAATAACCTTTAAAAAATTTGAAAAGATAGAAGTTGAAGAGGTTTAATTGGATTTTGTTTTTGAATTTGAAAATAATTCTTAAAAAAAGTTGAAAAGATTTTTTTCAACAGTAATATAAAATTCTAATAATCACAATTTATGAAAATTAACGTTTTGAAAATAAACCAAAGAAAATTAACATTTGGCAGTTCAGTTAATAGAGTTTGTGGCTAAAAACATTTTTATGGGAATTAGAATTTATGAACTTGACAATTACTTGTTTGAAATGGGCACAATACAGTTCCTGGAACTAAAATTCATGGGCCCGACCAAGATATTCTGGTCCATGAGTCCAGCTTTTGCAACGGCCAATTGTGTCCCTTGACATTCCTTTGACACACTAGCAAATATTATGGCTAAAATTACATCTTAGGGGGAGTTTGGTTAAGGTAGTCTTGGATTACTGGAGGGGAATGGAATGTCATTCTTTCATTTAGATTGCAAACATTCCCAACACCCGGTAATTTTGTATTCCCAACAGTGATATTTTGGGGGCTTATTATCAGGAATGTGATTCCATCATTCCCTTAGGTATAGTTACATTCCCGAAGTTTTGGATTAAAATGTCCTTAATTTTTTTTTAAAAATATCATTATTTTGTCGTTGAATAAAAAATTTCTACGAAGGTTAAATTGTAAATTTATCCTTAAACTATTTTATATTTACAAAAAATAGTTCATAATTAGAATTTTATATGAAGTTTAGACGTTAAAATAAAATTTTCGTTAAAATAAAATTTTACCCTTTCATTAAACCTATTTATCTTTTCAATTTTGTAAAAAAAAATATAATTTTTATGAATTTAAAATTTTTAAAGAAAATATATAAATTAATTATAGTAGAATTCAACTTGTTAAAAAACAAATATAAAATAAGAACAATTTGATAAAATATACATTCCAATAATCTGTTATTCCTTTAACCAAACACTGTAATCTTATATTACTGCTAAACAAACCAAACACAAAAATGCAATATTCATAGTAATCTTATTCCCGCCAGTAATCCTATTCCCCGCTGATAATCTTACATTCCGTGAACCAAATGCACCTTAAGGGAATTAAAATTTATGGGCCCTAGGTGGGTGCCCCTCTTGCCCCGGCCCAGGGCTAACCCTGCTAATGACTTATTTCAGTTAAAAGATCAGGTTTCTCGTTTATGATTTTCAACTGCTCGAGTGGTGAACTTTTGATATGGATGTTCTTCAAACCAATGCACTTTACAGTTGTAGACACTCATTTTCGTCCGATTTTTTTTTCTTTCATTTCACATTATTTATTATATTATATATATAGTAGTATAACATCATTTTTTGAAAATGCTTTTGAAATGATATAATATATAATTTCCAGAAAACGGTTTTCGAAAATGTATAAATTATATAGTTTTGAAAACGTTTTTAAAATATATATATCATATATAGTTTTGAAAACGATTTTTTGGGATATATATATTATATAATTTTTAAAACATTTTGAAAATAAATAATATATATTTTTGAAAAAACATTTTTTAAAATATATATATTATATAGTTTAAAAAAATTATATATAATATATAGGTTTTGAAAAACATTTAAAGAAATATAGTTTTCAAAACATTTTTGAAAAATTATATAATATAGTTTAAAAACATTTTTTAAAACTCATATAATATTTTTAAAATACTTTTTGAAAACTATATAATATATAGTTTTGGAAAATTTTTAGAAAAATAATATAAAGTTTTAAAAAATGTTTTTGAAACATATATATTATATATATTATATTATTATTATAATAATTATTATTATTATTTATTTACTTCCCATTTTTTTATTTATTTGTCCAGGGTCCAACAAGGTCAAAAGGGGATAGTTCAAGTCACGGTTTGGGTCCAGAAGCGGGCCTAGACCAACCCAAGACCTTAGGGTTTGAGAAACCTATCATAACAGTCATCACGCCGCAGCCGCATGGGAACCGTTGGATCTGGCCGTCTGATCCAACGGCCAGAAGTCATCAAGAACAACCAAGTCACTGGTCGACCGAAATCCTCGGCCAAATCGCAGGAGAATCGGAACCAAGGCCAATTGTTCAAGCACGACCACCATGACTGAACCATCCCGAAAAATCGACGAGCACTCTACAAGATCCGAGGCTACAACGGTCAGTTATGGGGTTATAAAAGCCCCAAACAGATAACCGAATGGGGTCCTTCAACAGAATACAACCACGGCGAACCAGAAACAGAGAGCCATAAAACCGAGACCATAATATCGGTCTACACAAAAACATCAACATAGAAAATAGAGCCATCACAAAACAATAACCACGGTAACATCATAGTACCATCAACACAAACAACATCAACCAAACGCCACTAAACCGAATCACAAACGGAAAGAAACACAAAATAAAAACCGTAAAAAAACTGAAGAGAACCAAGAGGAGCCAAGCCTCACAACCAGAGGACCGCTAGAAGTCGAAAAAATCGACGGTGAAGGTAAAAGTCAAAGAGTTTTTTGTTAGATCTACTCCGATCGATGGGGTTTTTGGGGATTTAGGCTTTGGGAAAGTGTTTAGGACGGTGAGGGGTTTGTTTTAGTGTGGTGTTTGTTTTTTTCGACCGCCACCGGCAGCGACCGGAGCGGCGATCGGCGACGGTGGCCAACTTCCCATCGGTGGGAACTTGCTAGAGAGAGGCGAGAGAGAAGTATATTTAGAGAGAGAGGGAAAAACAAATAAATGGGGAGATATGAGGAAGAAAAGCTTTATTTTAGGCTTAAATAGCCGCATCAAAACGATGTCGTTTCACCTAGAGGTCTTTTGCGCATTTTTGGGCATGGGTAAACTATTACACCGGTCCTGTAAGTTGTATGTCTTACGTTTTGGTCACTGGATTAAATCTTCAATACTTTTTATTTGGATTTCGAATTTATTAATTTTACATATTAGTCCTTTTTATTTATTTATTTATTTATATATGTATGTATATATGTATGTATATATTTTATGGTTTCTTTTTTGTTAATTTTTATAGCAATTTTCATTATTATTTTTTCTCTATTTATTTATTTCATTATTATTATTATATTTTTTTTACCTTTTTGACTTTCTTTTTTTTATTTTCTTTTTCCCTTTTTGATTTATTATTTTGGTATTTATCTATTTATTTAATATTTTTTATTTCTTGGATATATTTAGTTCTTATTTATTTTATTTATTTTAACATTTTGATTTTTTATTAACATTTTGCCCCTTTTTAGAAGAATTCCAACTGATCCAAGGTAAGCAATTCGAATTGAATTTTTTAAATTTTAATTTAAATTCTTAATTTTCGTAATTAAAGACAACCGACCAATTAATTGGTACGGAAAGGGCGGTTCAAGGGTGCTAATTCTTCCTTGACCGTAACCGACTCCCGAATCCGATACATTTATGGTAAAACGCAGATCAGATAAGATGTTATTCGATCCACCTAAACATCTTTTAAAGTGATCGGTGGCGACTCTAACCCATTATTAAAGTCGAAGCCCAATTACGGGGCCCAATCGGAAGATGGTCGCTACAGCTTGGCGACTTCGCTGGGGACAGGAAGTGAGTCATGCCGAAATTAATTTTTGGTTGTCTTTTTTTTAGCAAAAATTAAATTTTAATTTATTTATTGATTCCAATTATTTATCTTTGATTATTTTTTTTTCAAATAAATAGTTGTAAATGTTTTTTCAAAGATTTCAGATTTTTGAAAAAAAAATTCATCTCATGCTCTATACGCGAGCTCTGAACCCTATTTAAGTGAAGGTGAAAGCGACGTCTTCGTGTGAATTTATTCACCGTGCGAGCCTAGCAAGTAGCCTTCGGGATTCATACCTTATGTCTTCGTGTGAATTTATCAGTACGGGCATAAGGGAATGTTTTCTCTCGAGTAACTTAGTCCACATAAGCTTGTAATGGGTTAGGACTAACGGTCTAGAAAGCCCAAGGAGGCACCGGCAAGGAGAACTCGATTACCTCTTTTAGAACCTAAACCGGGAGAGTACATAGAATTAAAGCCCACCCCAAAACCTCATTCCAAACCCTAGGCTGCTTGATTTTATTTCCTGCTTTACTTTCTGTTCAAAGCATACGAACTAGACAAATATGCGGTTTAGGATTTGTTTGAAATTAACATGTGGGATAGAGATCATGTCCGGGTAGGAATTAAAGCAAGTGGGGTAAATATCATGTGGGGTAAGGCTTTTATTTTTTTCATGATTTTTTTATTATTTTCAC